TGATGATACTCATTGTTGGTTTTAAGAAAATCAAAGAAAAAAAGAAAAGACCATAAAAAAAATCAAAGAGCCAAAAGGACAAACCATATAGATGCAGTAACTTTGTGTGGTTGAAACAATTTAAGTTTTAACTAGACCTTGACCCGCCCGATCGGGTGAGTATTTATTTTATGTTTTTAGTTTTTATGTTTATATAAAATGATGTTTTTGTAATATTTAAACATAATTTTAAATTGAAAATTAACCATTAAAGTTATAATAAAAACTAAAATTAAAAGTTTAATAAAATACTCTGATATCAGTTTTAAATTTCCTAATTCAAATAATATAAGGGTGTCATAATTATTTCCAATTCCACAATTTTAGCATCCCTTGAAAATAAATGAAATAAATTTATTAATATATAAAATATATAAAAAATATTTGGAACTATAATTTCTTTCAAAATAAATTTGTTAAAAACAATCTTCTGATGTTGTTGTTTATTTCTAGAGTTCGACCCGTAATCGTATAAATATTTTCTTTTACTTTAATTTTTTTCTTGGGATTAATGGTATTATATATATATATATATATATATATATATGAAAATTAAAATGTATTACAAAAATTTTTAATATAATATTTTAAACATAAAAATATATATTACTTTAAATATTATATTTTATGATTTTAACCGTCTATTATATCCAGAATGATATACAAATTTACAAGAAATTCTAAACAATTATACAAAATATATTGTTATACTTAAAACATTACATAAAATCAATTTGAATACAAATAGTAAAATATTGTACATATATTTATTATATAATATTTAATATATAGTCTACAAATATTATTTTAATTTTTTTGTAATTTTAATATATCAATATTATCTACCAATTCATTTTCATATAGATTATGTAGCTAATATGTTGAATATATAATTATGTAGTTCACATTTTGATTTGAAATAAACATAAATATATATTTCAAATATTCAATTTCAAATTTATTTCAAGATGATATCTACAAGAAGTATATAAACTTAAATAAGTATATTAAATTTTCAGTTCTATATAAATATAAGTATATATTTGTAAGTTTGATTCTAAATTTTAGATTTTACTTTAGGTATATCCATACTGATCCGATATATTCCGTATTTGAACGATATATAGTTACTTTATGTGAACGATATATAGTTACTTTATGGATTCTACGAAGTGATACAAAACCGACCCGAAACCGATGTATTATATCCAATCATGATCCATATTTACGAAATTACTAGTATGGGATTTAGGACGTGTTATAAAATAAAACGAAATAAAAAAAAACATGATCTGAACCTGAACGCCCAGGGCTATTGCAAACTATCAATATCCAGTAGATCCGAGATGAACCTCCATAACAAATAACCATTGAAGAACACAAATCCAAAGCTTCATACCTGGCAAGACAAAGACATGATTTCCCAGAAGCGACGAGTCAATAGATACGATGGTAGGAGCCTAATTTGAAGACTTTTGAAATATCTAGAACTCGACCATAACTGAGAGGAAGTTTCGAGTAACGAATAATCTCATCTCAATATCAAAGAATTACATAAGGAAGATCAGAGATAGATCGAAGAAAGAAGAGATCTGGTCCTGACATCACTACGGAGAAGGACAGCAAATGAAAATTGCATGCACAAGGTAAAATAACAACATATCTACATGAGAGAACTAAGACAAGAAGCAAATATTATGGCATTGCGGAACATTCTCCCGTTATTCCAAGAATCCGACACCATAAGGAAAACTACGAAGAACATCTAACAAGATCTGGAAAGGATAGTCTTCAAAAAACGAATTTAACTTTAAAAATAGAAAAAGATTCAAAACAAATAGGTAAGAAGCGAAAAGCAAACCAAAATACAAAGAGATCTCGCTCCGTCGCTAAAGAAAGCCATTGGAACCGAGGGCGGCTACTTTATTCAGAAGAGAGAAGATAAATAAAATTAGGTTTGTTTGTTGCACTTTTATCATGCAAATAGCAAAACAATAATTACTGAATCAAATATTTGAGAGGATTTCATTTTTTTCTTCAAAACTACTCTTATTGTATTTATCATTTCTATATGAAATTTAAGCTTATTGGATTTGTCACTGGGATAAATATTTCTAATTCTAATTTATTGGAAAATATGGATTTTATCAATAAAATATATTAAATAGGATTTGGTGGGGTTTGGATAGTATTTTATAGTGCAAAAACAAGAAACTGAAATACCACTATTTAAGATGGTATTTGAAATCTTTTTTAATAATTAACATTTTTAAAAAGAATCAAAATAGTTGAAATGATATATATATATATATATATATATATATATATATTTGAAAATCTAATTATAAAATCATTTATATATTTTATGTAATTCATAAAACGATAAAAATAAAGTGATAGTAATTAAAATAATAATCTCATTTTAAATAAATAATTAAAATTTAAAGGTTATTTTAAAAACTCTGCCTTTTTCAATAACATTTAAAACTTGTATTAATACTTTAAATTTACTCAAATCTCGAAATTTTGGGATTTACTCAAAATCTTGAATCTTCTCAAATCATTGATCCAAGTTTTTCATAGTATCAGAACTCTCTCGCAAATAGTTGTGTTAGTTTTGTAAATAATGATTATAAAAATAAATTTTAATTTTTTAAAATACCACTAGCAACCTAACAGTTCTATCAAAACAGAAAGTTCATTTTCTAATGTTACCAGAGACGAAGATTTTCACTTGTCATTTATGCAATTACAAGTTTACTTGATTTGGTCATTTAGCTATTCAACTCTACTATTAAATCGAATTGTTTCCTCCTAGTCCTAGACTATAAAAATACACTTTGTGATTAGTGTTAACACTTTATGTGATTTTTTTTGTGTCAGCCACCCATCTAAATTATATGAAGTATTGGTCAGATGAGTCGATTCTACAAAAAAAAATTTCGTCTGGTGGGTCTGATCTATATGGAAAAAGATATAACTTCTGGTCCTTAATTCTTTTGTTAGTGCATCCGCTCGACCATTTTTGTTCTGAGGAATATGAGACAAATCCTCATGTAAACTCTAGAAAACTTTGATCTCTGTCGTGAAAATCAGTCTATCCTCCGGATTTTTAATCATGTCGACTAGGTCCGAGCAGTCCGTCTCAAAGTGTATAGAAGTTATCCTCATATCTCTCGCATCTGAGGCTGCCAAAATAAACCTCTATCTCAGAATTCAAACCCGAGAGGCTCCTTCGGCATAGCCGTAATCCGAAGACTTCATAACCCATTTGATCTTTAAGATTTCACCCTAAGCTATTGACACTGCCATTATCGATCCATGACGCATCAATTTGGTAGGTAGGAATTTAGGGTATCCAAGGGTTGTCATGATCCTCAATTGTTACCTCTTTTTCATTAGTTTTACTCCAACATTCTGCCTTAAAAGACGTGTGTTGGAGAGTGTCAATGGGGAAAACGACTTTTCTATTAAAGAGTTTGTCATTTCTCGCCTTCCAAATGTATAAACAGATCCATAGGAAGGTATCGAACTATGGTTTCAGTGGAACCACCCTTTTTCTTTCCCAAAAAAAGAAAGTTCATGTCTTGGTATATACATATATTTGGGAAGTCACCTGGAAGGGACAAATAGTCTAATAAAACTCAAATCTGTAGGGCTAATGGACATTCAAAAATAAAATGAATAATTGACTCCACTTAACCAGCACATTTAGGACAACTCCTATTGGTTCCCATGTGACTATAAATGAGTCTCTCTGCCATCACCACACAGCTCGAGATAGCATGCCACAAGAAATGATTTATCTTACTTGGATTCTTTATTTTCTACACGTAGCTCTGAAAGCTTGTGATACTTGGTTCTCCAACTTCTTCCTGAGTGAGATTTCTCTTGGTCGGTTGGAGTGGGTCATTGCCGATTTTAATTGAATACACATGGAATTATTAGTATTATATAGTTTTGAGTAAATTTTGGGTTATGTTTTTTTCTATTTTATTCAAATTCGGTGAAGAGTAGATGAGCTATTACCAAAACTGGTTGTGCCAAATATCTTGTGCTAGGAGAAGCTTGTCTTCACCACGAACCCATTATAACCAATCTAGTTGTCCATCCATCGAGCTGTTAGCTGAAATTGCTGAGTTAACGTCAAAGATTCAATGATTAACGAATCAAGAAAGTTCATTGCGGTTTTGAAATAAGCATAAATCCAGTGAAAATTTGTATAATGAGATTTTTGAAATGTCTTAAAGAGATGCCAAGCTATTTAAGCACTCAAGGAGGATAAAAAATATGATATTTCAGAGCTTTCAACATCTTATAACCTAATCACATCATTTCTATATAGGAGAAATTAATATTTCATTTATTTCATTTTAGTTGTTATTTTGGTTTCTGCATACAGATTAAAAATATATTTATTTTTTTATATTTTAAAAAGAAATATTATTATTTTTACATCTATTCATATTTTAATTAATAAAAAAATAAAATAAAAGATATTAATAATAAATATTGCATTGAAATTTTCAAAGTAACACAAAAATTTTACTCTGTAACAATAATTTAATTTTTTTGTTGTTGGTTCTTTCAACTTTTTATCTTTTCTCAAACATCACTTAAATGAGATTTAGAGCTTACAATAACAGAAAAAGGCACAGCATCAAAACTTTATTCCTTACTCGTGACAATCAAACAAAACTTTATTCCTTTCTGTAGAAAAAAGAAGATAATTAACTTGTTCTTCACAATGTAATAATATATAATAATACATATTTGGTATATCACAACAAAATCTTAATTTCTATATTACCATAATAGTATAGACTTTAATCGCAAGACTTGTTCCTTTCTGTAGAAAAAAGAAGATAACTTGTTCTTCACAATGTAATAATATATAATAATACATATTTGGTATATCACAACAAAATCTTAATTTCTATATTACCATAATAGTATAGACTTTAATCGCAAGACTTTATTCCTTTCTGTAGAAAAAAGAAGATAACTTGTTCTTCACAATGTAATAATATATAATAATACATATTTGGTATATCACAACAAAATCTTAATTTTTATATTACCATAATAGTATAGACTTTAATCGCAAGACTTTGCATCCACTAATCTTTAAGAAGTCAACTCCAGCGCTTTCCGTCTGCGTTTAGAACGATTAAGTCGAAGATCGAAAAGAGCATGGGGAAAGTTTGTGAATATATGAAAGCCAACAAAAATTTTATAATCAGCCGTTTCGTTTTGAGCGATTATGTGCTCTGCCATTCACATCGTCTGAATCAATATCCGAAAACGATGAATAATCTGCGGCTTTAACCCTCCTACTATAGCTTTTGCCACAGCCGGTGCAGCGGCTTAACTGGCTTCTAGCCTTTAGGATCGCTCGCCATCCGATTGTACAAGGCTGTTTGATGCAGCACCATAGAACGCAAAGAGGACAATAGACACATAAGCAACATATGTTAAACGCGACCTCTGACGAACCAGTTAAAGATGCGTTTGCGTTTGTGACTACGATTTGAGACCTTGTAGGAGAAACGCGGATCTGATCCCTTGCTCGATGCTCTTCTTCTATTTTTATTTTGAGTAGGGTTTTGCGGTCGTTCATCTCGTTCTTGAAGAAAAAACCCAAAGATTCTTATTGTTTTGATGATTGATTTCTTAATGACCACGATTTTCATTTTTATAATTATTTGTATAATTTTTTATACTTTCTTTTGTTGTTTAGAAACTATTTAAAATTGCTGACGGCTTAACGTGGACATTTGGCTATTATCCCAATATTGATATACCTTTTTGAATAATTCAAAGCCACTCGAATAAAAAGATAGATCTAAATAGTATCAGTTGAATTTGGCTGTACGAAATTAAGTTAATGGAATATAAGTAAGTAATTAAAAATTCATTGTAACAGAGTAATCTAACAGCATATAATGGAAGAAGTTCCACTATGGTACTTGTTGACAATATTATAGTTTTTAATTCCTAATTTATAAAATTTATAGTCACTCAAAATAAATTGCCATTTAGCCTAAATTAAAATTTTAAATTGTTGATAAAAAAATAGATTTTGTATTTTAAAGATTTTATGAAACATAATGTAAAAATAGATTCTCAAAAAAACATGTTACCAGTAAAAAAGAGTGTATGGTTGGATGAAAAATTATATAACTTAATAAAATTAGAAAATATGAAAATTCAATATACTGATATGCAAAAGGAATAAAGCTATATAGCCGAACTTGTTTAAACTCATGAACTTTCCTATCTTCTAAAAAAATATTGAATTTTCAACTGGTTCGAGGCATACACTCTTTAATTCCTAGGCACTCGACTGGTTCGAGGCATACACTCTTTAATTCCTAGGCACTCGACTGGTTTGAGGCATTTCCTCTATAGCCCCCAAAATTCAAAACCCAATCTCTCTAAGACCCATGTAAAACAGAAAATAAAATTAATTAATTTAAATTCGGAAAATATGTAAATGACACAAAACTCGTGACAAATTGAAATATTTACAACTTGTACCTTGATATAATCCACCCGACCCGAAAAAATTGGAAAATCAATCAAACCGAAAATGGTCTAACCATTTAACCAATCTAACCAAACTTTCCAAACCAAATATATCGATTTTAGAAAACCCATCCACCCAAATTTTAAAATTAAAACAGAAAACCCTAGTTTCTATTCCCAAACCAAACTAAATCGAGATATCTCATTTCTCTCTTTCAAAATCGACGAACTCATCACCCACTAACTTCACTCAATCGAATCACCGGAGGGAGATCGATCTGTCAAAGATGGCAGAAACGAGGTTGGGTAAGCGGAAACAAACCGACAAAGAGAAACAAACAGAGGAAGAGGAAAAGAAAAAAGCTGTGAAGAAGGTGAAAACGAAGAGTTTAAAAGTGAAGTTTGTAAGGACGACCTCTCCACCCTCATCGACGGCTCTGGAGAATGCGACGGCGACGGAGGAGACAAGGTTAAATGCTCTTGTGGATTCTGCGATTGGAAGTAAAGCTCAATCAGATGTTCCCCAGAATGATAATGAAGAATCCTCCAAAGCGACTATCTCAAATGAAGATGGTGAAGAAGGACAAGAAGAAGAAGAACAAGAAGTAGAAGAAGAAGGAGAACACGAAGAAGGAGAACAATAAGAAGAGGAGGAAGGCGAATCAGAGGAGGAAGCAGGAGAAAATGATGTAACAAATAATGTTCAGGAACCAACAGAAATGACCGCGAAGGCCCAGACTTCAGCAGTATCAGAGCATGGAGAGGTAACAAATTAGCAATAGAACACTAAGTAATAGTGTATGTAATACTAAGTAAACATGGTAAGACTATGAGATTATTCAGTAAAACTAGAAAAACATAGGAAAACTAGGTAATACTGAAAAAGTTAGGAATAATAAATTGGAGTTTTGATGTATGAGTGCTATAAATATGTTAAAATTGATTTTTTTTTTTTTTTTTTTTTGCAGGAAACTGAGGCCATCAAACCAGAAAAAAATGTTCTTTCCTCCATCTGAGTACAAGAAAAGAATCAAGGTTGGGACAAGGTGTATGATAGTAGACGCAATTAAGACCCTCAAGGAGCTGAAACCGAAGCTATCTAACGTGGAGAGGAGCTGGTTTGAGAAGAATCCTCAATTCAAACACGTTTTCCACATGAAAAGTCTGAGCAACCACAAGCTTCAGGGTATGTGGATGTTGTTGGTGAGGACAGCCGAAAGCAATAAACGGAGAGAAGTGTGGTTTATTGTCAATGGTGTTCCCATCCGTTATGGGCTGAGGGAACACGCATTGATATCCGGATTTAACTGTTGCAACTATCCTCTTGACTATAAGGAGCGTGGTGGGCCAACGTTTGTGAATAGTCAGTTCAAGGAAGGAGAACTGATAAGGTTGGAGGATGTGAAAGAGAAGCTGGTGAACATGGGACCCCATAGAGACAGGCTGAAGATGGCGGTTCTATTCTTCTTATGAAGTGTCGTTTGTGCGCAAACGAAGGTTGGAAAAGGAGCTCCAAATGTATTGGAATTTTTCCAGAGAGTCGTTGATGATCTGGACTTCTGCATGACCTTTCCATGGGGGAGATACTCGTTTTATTACATGTTGAAGAAGATCTCTCACACCATGGAGCATTTTGGAGGGGTGGTGAAAGAGAATACATTATGGCCTCTACCAGGTTTTTGTGTTCCATTAGAGGTAAGTAAGAGAAGAAATTGAAATTCAGATTTTGTTTTGATTGACCAGTAATTGTATTTTAAATTTTGTGTTTTGTAGGTTCTTGCTTTCGAGGCAATTTATGGGAAATCTGTTCAGAGAACATGTTGACGGAGCTGACAAGAAGTGTCCGAGGATGTGCAGGTACACTAAAAATGGAATGAAAGGAAAGGGATGTCACTCACACTCATAAACAAGGAAATTGGTCACGATACTGTAAGTTTTAGAGTTATTTAGTGGTATGGTAGAACTTAGGTATATGTTTACTAAGTTCGAACAAGTATTGTAGAAGTATGGTAGAACTAAGGTATTACTTAGGTAAAACTTTGGTAAGTTTGAACAAGTATTGTAGAAGTATGGTAGAACTAAGGTATTACTTAGGTAAAACTTTGGTAAGTTTGAACAAGTATTGTAGAAGTATGGTAGAACTAAGGTATTACTTAGATAAAACTTTTGAAAGTTTGAACAATTTTTTTTTCTGTTTGTACAGGATATTGACATCATCATCCCCACCACAAGTGGACATGAAGACAATATCTTGGATGATATTATGGAAGATGAAGACGATGTTGATGTGGCTGATCTAGCAGTCGACAGTTGGGATAAGCGTATAAATGAAGGGTTGAAGGTCTTTTTCAAAGACATGTTCGATGAAGATGTTGCGGCTCGGAAAAAAGTGGAAGAAGAGGTAGAAGATGCGGTAGATGCCCAAGATGGAGCTGAGGTAACTGAGCAGTTGAATCAAGTAAGAGATGTGATGAAGACCCTGAAGAAAATGATGACAATGATTAAGAGAGTTGAGAAGAAGGTTGATCAGTTTGGTGGGAGATTGGAATCGCTAGAGGCTTTTGTGAAGGAAGCAGAAAAACAGAAAGCAATAAAGAAGTGAAGAAATGGGTTCAAGTGTGAAGTCTTCGTATGTTTTTGTTGTTTTGTCAAGAGTCAAGTAAGTTGGAGAACATATACAAGTTAAGGGGGTTTGTATGTTTTTGTTGATTCTAAATTAGACAATTTAAGTACCTTTATTTGTTATAAATAATTGTCTTGAAAAATAGAATCATAGGCAAAACAACAAAAACAACATAATAGTAGTCGAGACACATAGTTCCATAGAAATAAGTCTTACAACAAACATTGACAACCTCCATTGACAATTACCAAAACTTACAACAAAGCCATGAAATAGCAGCTACACACCCAGTATTCTCTGATTTCATCAGTTCCACTAATTCCACTAAACTTTACAGTAACCATTGCTTCTAAATCTTCTTCAACAGTGGTCTGTCTTGCTTCAACCATTGAAACCTCTTCAACCAAAGCTTCATCAAGCCACTTGAAGAGATGAGCTTCACCCTCTCTCTGCAACAAGCATTATCCAGTTAAAGCAAACAAACTAAAACATTAAATTTTCTTCAATTTCGAAAGTGCCAAAACATACCATCCTAGCTACTTCACAACGATAGAATCTTCTAAAAGGATTCCTTGTTGTCTTCGAAACAAATACCGAGACGGAGTTTCCACACCAGCAGTGTGATGAAATACCACGAAGGAAGTCTCTCTTTCTCCGGGAATATGATATTTCGGCTTTCATGTTTCAAGAACCCTAATTTCTCTGTTAAATGAAGAAATGAAGAAGAAAGAGAGGTTGGGTTGTGTTGTTAGTTGTTTCACACTTTACCTACCTACCTCGCACACGATTTGAAAGGAAATAAGAGAGAGTTGGGCCGAGTGGGCCATGTTTGTTGGTTGTTTGACCTCAATTTGTTGTTTTTTTGTTTGTGGATAATGAATTATGTTATCACTAAACACTACACATTCCATAATAGAGTTCAACAAACACTTAAACATAACATAAGGAGACATAGCATAAGTTTTGATACATTATTATCATACAAGCCTTAACAAACAAAGACTTATATTATCCGAAACATATAACAACATAAAACAACAGAGAGAGTCATCTCAAGCAAACACAGACACACATAAGCTAGGCAAGATTATTCCTAAGATGTTCTCATTTACAAGCCTCTTAAGTTTTGCAATCTCTTCAGCCATATCATTCACCTCCCCCTCCTTAACTTCTCGACTTCCTGCTCAACACCGAAAGCCCATGACTGAAGAAAGTGCAGTCCATCGTCCTGCACGTTCAACATATTTTCACTCAATATAACAAAGTTTCACCCAGAATTACGCAACATAGTTTCACTAAGTATAACATGGTTTCACCCAGACTTACTCAACATAAGTATAACATGGTTTCACCCAGAATTACTCAACGTAGTTTCACTCAGTATAATACGGTTTCACTCAGTATTACATCGTTTGAATCAGAGATAAAAATTACCTCGTATGACTTGCAGGTGAAGTACCTTCTCCCAGGTAAGGTGTCGAAATCTGAAGGATACTTTGTCT